GCCAGCATAGCAGCACAGGACCGGACGCTACCCCAAAAGTGGGGCGGCAACAACTGACTCCCCAAAGCTGTCCTCATAGCTCTGCATGTAGCCAAAGCTGGCCTGGAACTAATGATCCTCCTGCATTCTCTTCCCACATGCTGGGATTACATAAAATTTGAAACATGGTCCCTCAGTAACCCAGGCTGGACTCAAACTCAAGATATATAGCTAAAGGACTTTGAACTTCTCATCCTCCCCGGTGTTAAAATTACAAGCATGTGCCACTACACCAGCTTGTGTGGCGCTGAGGATTGAACCCAAGGCCTTGTGACTACTAGGCAGGCACTCTGACAACTGAGCTACATCCCTAGCACAGATGAAAATGTTTAATTTTCAAATCTGACATGGCAGCTCACACCTCACTTGGGTGGATCTCTGTGAGTTTGGCCAGCTTGGTCTACATAGTGAGTTCCAGGACAGACAGAGTTACAAACACCACAAGAGGAGAAAAAAATTAATTTTTTTTTATTCTGATTTCACTAAAAAAATAAGTAATTTGCTACAATCCTATTTGCCAAGGAAAACTGGGCCTAGAAGTCGAGCCTTTCATCCCAGGACTTACAAGTCCAGGTAAACCTACGTTAAAATGTGACAAGGCTCTATCTCAAAAACACAAACACAAACTTAACTATCTTCATTCTTTAATTAAATGAAAAAACCAACAAAGAGAAAAGCTCCCCCAGCTTGTAAAAAAGACAATTTAGGAATTCAGTGAAAAATGAACCGGAAGCAGCCGTCATTCCATATTACAGTAGTTATTAGAATAAATGTTTTTTAATCCTAGTTACTTACTTACTTACTTATTTATTGAGGCAGGGTTCCTCTGTGTAGCTTTGGAGCCTTTCCTGGAACTCACTCTGTAGCCCAGGCTGGCCTCGAACTCACAGAGATCCACCTGCCTCTGCCTCCCGAGCACTGGGATTAAAGGTGTGCACCACCTTTAATGCCCGGCTTTCGAATCCTGCTCTCTGGCACTGAGACTGTAAGTGTATGCCATCATGAACAGAGGGGTTTTGTTTTGTTTTTTAAAGATTATCTATTTTATCTCAAAATAAGTAAATAAGAAAAAAAGATTTATTGTTTCGTGGGGGGGGGTTATTTTGCTTGCATGCATGGCTGGATATACCACATGCATGCTTGGTGTCCAAGGTCATCAGAAAAGGGCATCAGATCTCCTGGAACTGGAGGTACGGATGGTTTAAGCCTCCCTGTGGGTGCTGGGAGCTGAACCAGGCCTCTGGAAGAGCAGCAAGCACTCTTAAGCACTGAGCCGTCTCTCCAGCCCCTGCACAGCAGCTCATATGGGTTCTGGGGACTGAACTCAGGTCCTCCTGGTTGTACCGAGAACTCTGTCTCCCAGCCCCAAATTTAACATGCTTTTAAAAACAGGTACTACAAGATTTTAATCCCAGCATTCAGGGAGGCAGAGACTGTGGATCTCTGTGAGTTCGAGGCCAGGCTGGTCTACAAGAGTGAGTTCCTGCAGGACAGCCAGGACTATAGAGAAAGATCCTATCTCAAAAACAAAACAGACAACAAAAGTCTAAGCACCCAGATTCCTTCAACCATTCTTTATTTTTTTCCTTTTCTGCCATGTTGGAAATCAAACACGGTTATATGCATGTTAGGTAAGCACTCTATCACTGAGCTAAACCTCTGGACTTCAAGTGGTCTCAAACAGACATATATTCCACCAGAAAGGCCTTATCCTCAAGAGATGGTTAAAAATAAAACCCTTCTGGTGTCTGTTTCTTGCCAGAGAACACAATATCACTAATACCTGTTGTCCATTCTGACATTTGACCCATTTGCTGGGTCAAAACGACTGAGCTAATCTCTTTACCATCTATGTTAGTTAGAAGTGTGCTGGGAGAGAGGTGGAATGGAGCTCAGTCCAGTCGGCAGAGCATTTACCAGGACACATAGATCACTGGGTTTGATCCTAAGGACTGCATAAACCGGGCATCATGCTGCATACCTACATAATAACGGCATTTGGGAGAGGGAAGCAAGAGGACCAAAAGCTCAAGGTTAGTCTTGGCTACATAAGGAATGTCAGGTCAACTGTGTATGAGACTTTTTTAAAAATGGGGTTTGGCTCAGTAGTAGAACAGGGTTTCTCTGTGTAGCTTTGCACCTGTCCTGGATCTCACTCTGTAGACCAGGCTGGCCTTGAACTCACAGAGATCCACCTGCCTCTGCCTCCCGAGTGCTGGGATCAAAGGCGTGCACGACCACCACCCGGCAGTAGTAGAACTCTTATCTAGCATATTCCTTGGCTCTGAATCCAATCTCTAGCATGCACACACACACAAAAAGAAAGTTAAATCTTAGCTGGAAGACTATAGAAAATTCTATTTTATTTTATGTAGTTTATGTGTTGTGGTATAGACCAAAGGTTTGGAGTATATATAATGTAATGAATGTCCATAAACAAAAAAATATTCTAATATTTTTCCCAAAATGAATATGCACAAGGCTCAAGCCTAGAAACAGTTCAGTACTTTTACTCAAAAGCTTTCTTTTCCACAAATAAAACAATTATATAACAAGAATATGGTGGCATGTGCCCACAATGTAGTCCCAGATATTCTGGAGGCAGAGGATGGAGGATCACCAATCAGTTCAAAGCTAGCCGGGGCTGCTTAGTGATACCCTACCTCAAAAAACAAAACATAATTAATTTATTCACACTAATTCAATTTAATTTTCATGACAACTCTGTAAGACTATCCCATTTCATAGCTAAGGAAATGGAGGCACAGACACTGAGTAACTTTTAAAGGTCAAACCTAACTGATAATAGACGGTCTATGGCTTGAACTTAGTCCCTAAACTGTACAACAAACTTCTCTCAATCTGACTGATACAGGAATCAAGCGTACCATTTAAGAAATATTCCAGAATATCATCTGATGTCAGGTTGTAAACACATTAACATTTACCTCTTCAAAAATGCCACTGGAAAAGTCCCCACATCGCAGTGTGCCATCGTAGCTCAGTGACAGTAGGTGGGCTGGATTGGTGGGTGAGAAGTAAAGACAGCTAACGGGCTGACTGTGGGGATAAAAAACATATATCTGATCTTCACATTGCTGGGTCTGGAAGAAAGTTGGAGGTGAGGGAAAAGACAAAACTAGTGAAAAGTAGTAATGGTTGCTATGTCTTCATATCATTAAAGAATTAACATAGGAATTATATTGAGTCTTTAGTCTAACTACACTCACTCTCCCAGACAGACAATCAGAACCTTTTAAGAGCATGTGCATGCGTGTACAACACACCCATATAGAGGCCATGACACACATGTGTAAGTCAGAGGATACATTGCAGTTGTCAGCTCTCTCCTTTCACGTGAATTCAGGTCACCAGGCAAGCATCTTTACCCTCTGAGCATCTCACAGGCACAGAATCAACAACTTTATATTGGAAATTTTGTTTCCTCATATTCAGTTTAACAATACCCAGCCACATTAATTTCACATGCCCAGCTTTGGGCAACTATCAAACTAGTTTCTTCTTAACAGAGGCAACAAAAACCCTGCATCTGCCAGTTGAGATGGCATGCACCCATGATCACAGCTACTCAGGAGGATCACCTGAGCAGGGGAATGTTGTGGTAGGTGGTGTTTATGGCTAACCCAGGAAACACAGCAAGACCTCCCCTCAAAAAACAAAACAAAATCCTCTGGAGAGCTGGCTCAGCAGTTAAAATCATTTGCTGCTCTTGCAGAGAACCCGAGTTGGATCCCCAGCACCTGACAACATATAACCATCCGTAACTCTAATGCCAGGGAATCTGTTGCCCTCTTTCAGGAATGTACCTGGTGCACACACATACAGGCAGACAAAACACCCATATATGTAAAACAAAAATAAAATGTAAAAAAATTTTAATATAAGAAAGTACGGGTTATTCGCTGGGCAGTGGTGGTACACGTCCTTTAATCCAAGTACTTGGGAGGCAGAGCCAGGCAGATCTCTGTGAGTTTGAGGCCAGCCTGGTCTACAGAGCAAGATCCCAGACAGGCACCAAAACTACAAAGAGAAACCCTGTCTCAAAAATCACCACCACCACCACCCCAGAAAAAAAAAAGTATGGGTTATTCAATACCAAGTGGTCATCTCTGAAATCATATACATAAAAGTAACATAAGAACTGAGTGAATTATATTAAGAAGATATATGCATATATATGTAACAACAATTAAAGAAATAGAGGCCATGAATTTGAGAGAGCAAGGGGAAATGGGAAAAGTTGGAGAGAGGAAAGAGAAAGGGTAAAATTATTTTAAAAAATGTAAAAATACAAAGTATGGGACAGTGAGATGACTCAGAAGGTAAAGGTGCTTGTCACTAAAACATATGCAGGCAAAACA